TTTGTGCAAGCGTAGAGGCCATCGGCCATAAATTTATTCTGTCTAAGCAGCTGCGGATATACGGATGTTCTCGATTTCATCCCATGCAGAAGTGGACCTACATGGTTTCTATCCAATGCAAGAATTTGTCATAATAGAAAACCGAGGTAAAGGTGTTTATGCATTTTTTCACCCTAGGGCTGGATCAGCTTCTCGTATATTGGGCTACATTGCATGCCAGCTGGCGTCGTGGTGTCTTATTTCTGACGTAAAGGCCATTCTTCGGCGTGCATCTGTGTATGGTGCACGTAATATACAGTTGGTGAATTGCAGTCTGACGCGCTACCTTATTCTGCGGTACTTGTGGTAATATATTAGAGTTCCGAATAAGTCTTAAAATTTCCGCTTTACGTGCCAGTTCGCAGGTGATTGAAGTCCTGTTTGCAGGTATGGACGTTACAGACCACATAAAGTTAATTGAACACTGTTACGGGAATACAAGATAGTGAAAAATGCCGGCCGATCTGACATCGATACGTTGTAAAATCATTGAAAGAATTCTTAAGGGAGCCCGTACTCCTCACCTAGAGAACCTGCGTAGCCACTTCTGCGCTCAACTTGGTTTCCGTAAAGCATATCGCAGTTGCTCTAACATGCTTGTTGCCAGAGCAAAATGGGTGCGAACTCTGGGTGTCACTAATCATCTGGAGCTCGGTTTCGTCGAAATCAGCAGGGCATTTAATAAAGTTTCTCATGGACGTTTCCACAAGCTACAGGGGATCAGCATTGCTGGGAAGGTTTTCTTATGGTTTGCTGACTTTCAGAATTGCCGAAGCATGCAACTGAGAGGGGTCGGCACCTACTCCAGTCCTGTTTTTTGGTCAGCGGTGTTCAACGTGGCTCTGCCTTCGTCCCATGCTCTTTAAAAGCCACATCCATGTTCTTCCAACTGAGCGCCACACTGAGTACCGCAGATATGCTACTAAGCTGAAACTATGGCTAGTGTTCTCAAAGATTTATTATTCTGACCGGCTACAGCAAACGCTGGACCGACTGCACTTCTGGTCGATAAAATAGCGGCTACCCATTGCTCTTGTTGTGTTTTGTCCCCCAATGAGTGCCCAGGACTCCTTTGGTGCCTACGACATTAGGGGCACCCTGCCCAAGAACGCAACTTTAAAGAAAGAACTTGGCGTCCTTGTCCTGCCAAACCACGCACGACTCAGGACACCCTAAAGGAAGTTACCACGGCTGATAAGGAGTTCTTTTCTTAATGCGATCATGTTTCTACGCATGTTTAGCTCCAGTGTTCGACCAATTGTTTAGTACGGCTGGCCTGCCACCTACAATTTTACGAAAGCTGGATGTGTACTGATATAGAATGTGCAGCGGCGGAGATCGAAATCCCTCATGGCACTCAGAAACCCAGCTTATTCTGATGGCCTTCAAAGGGTGAAATCGCTCCCTGGGATATGGTCGTCACCGTCGTGATTTGATTCACTTGCGTACTACGTGACCTCGGTAAGCTGTGAGGTAACTTTCTTTGGAATCGTTTAACCTACATTCCACTCACTTCATCGTATAACACTATGGGGTTGAGTGCGGAAGGCAAGTTTTGAGGAGGTCCGCATTTGGACATTATTAACTACCTGCATACGGCGTGGAAGGAGATGAAACTCACGCTACCTGTTGTGCTCTGCATGGATCCGGGGTGTGCAACTTGCGATGGCGATTCCGACGCATTGTATCTTTTGGCAGTACTTGCATTAACAAGCTGTTGACAGTGCTCCTTGTATTTCACATTAACTGCTCCGCACGGCTGCTAATTCGCACTGGTTTCACAGAACTGATCGGTGTATGAATGCGGAAATGCCTATATTTGTACTTCATTTTACATCCAATAGCAAGGTCACATGCGTGATAAGCTTTTAGATGTTCCATATCATCGAGTATGAGGACACCTCAAACGCTGTTATCTAAGGAAGCTGGTATCGGACACCAATACCATCCTGTGGCCAGGTTTTGCAACCACCATAACCGATGCTTTGTTTCTGTGTGGAAAAACTCCAGTGGCGGCGAAATGCTTTGCGGTGAAAACTATCCTCTTAACTGGTGTATCATGATCCGTTATAATGACGTTTGCGAATGATTTCGTAAGATCAAACGCATCACTTGCTTCTTGGAGGAGCACTCCGATCCACCGTCAACTGTCGGCACACTGCTTATGTAGTGGGGCGGGAAGAGACGCTTGCAATTAATACTTCGCAATATCATTTGCAGGTTTCCAGTTTTGAGACTGGACTTGGAAATGCAAACGAAGCTACACCAACTTGCACCACATCCAAGGGCTAGAGCCATCCAGTATTCACCGCCTTCTTCGGTGTTCAATTTGAAGAATGACGTACCTCAGCCGACCCCACAGGCTGCCTTGGAAGGCGCTCCTCAGATTACTAGTCCCCCCACATCAAGCTAAGATAATAAGCTACTTACTTAACGCTTTCGTTTTAGCTCCTCCACTGACCCACTCAGCAGGTTCACTTCGGGAAAACGGAACTGCTTGTGTAACACCTGTCAAGGCTGGAAATGAAGCAACATACGCGGTTGTATAGTGCGCGACATACCGACAGTTCTAGAATTCGGAGGAACTTCACGCCCTGTAGTTCGTGATGCCCTCCATTCGCTTCAAGTTGCTAGCTGGCGCCAATAGCAATGTATGCCATGTACCGTTTCTGTAGAAGACGGGGAAGGTACTGCAAGTATTAGAACGACGGCTAGAGAGCCCAGGTGCCGTGGCCCAGTTGGTGTGCTGCCGCTTATGTATGCTTTTAATTTAGATTAACTGCTGTAATACGATCGGCGGGAATATCGGATCGACTGCAGTGTGCAAAATCCTTCAGGCTGCCAGCACTGACTAGGTGGCTAACCAATTGAATTGGCGAGGCGTCCGCAAACGCACCGCTATAGCGAGATTATATTGACCCAAGCAATCATCTGGTAGTCCCCAAGATATCATCCAAGCGTATTCTAGAGGAAGTAGTACGGATAAGGCTACGTGGCTGCTTAAAAGGAGGAGAAACATCGGATCTGTCGGTGGATTCAGATGGCTTACGAGCGGATAAAACTGCCTGGACTCCCTCGGAACAGGCGCTTTTATCATCGTAACCCCACAAGCTACAGTAACTAGGCAAAGATGAATATACACTGCGTCATATAATGTGTCTGATCCTTGATATTTTGGGGTATTGGGTAACCGTACTTTATGCTTTCGCGTCGATCCTTATGAAAAGCGGTGTATATTCATGTTCGCTGCATCCAAAATGAGGTTTCGTGGGGTCCGCGACGGTTATCCTGCACCAAAAAGTTGGTTTCATTGCGCTTCTACTTACGGGACGTAATTAGGTCTGGTTTTCAGGGTTCCACTACTTCGGTTGTTTGCGTTTGGCCTTTTGTACGTAGACACTGCGCAGGCGGAACATGCAACTAAGCATGCAATTGTGTTCATATGTGCAACTAGTGATGTGTATATTAGGGTAAGCAGATGCTCATCGTTTTGGTTTACCTGATTTGCATTCGCTACTGTATCTTACACTACTTTGTTAAACAGTCCACAGATAACACAATACCCACCTTTGTTTCGGTGCACTTTGGCTTTCACAAGTTGCTTACTGACCTGCTAGCTGTTGGCTTTCAGGCCCAGTGCACTAGGACTGAAAGCCAAGACTCCTGAAGCTACTCCAAGGATGAATATTGTTTACACCCATTGAAACGGGACTTCATTATACGAATAACAATGAGTAGGTTTCACGTTAAAGGAGAAGTTGCCTCTATATTTGACGCGGGTCAAATTGTACAAGTATTACTATGCTCTTGCATGGGCAATATAGATTGGTGATGAATAAATATAGATATATCAACGTCGGTGAGTGGAACGGTCCAGCTGGATAATACAATTCTTCATGTACATCAAAATCGCAAGAAGCTGATGTTATATTAATCGTATCTTCCTACCCATTCTTCAACCTCTTTGGTTGACATAGATAATTGATCAATTAAATATTTCAAAAAGATTGTGTGGTTTTAAAATATAGCAAATGCAGGTAAATAAAACGTATAATTGAAGTAATACGGCCATTACTTGGACCGCCTCCTGTGGACCTACTTCCATGTGGGTTCCCTTCTCGATGAATTTCGCTCGCACTTTTATGTCCCATCTGGCCGGGTGCCAGTGCGGTTTTAAATCAGTTACGCCAACCTTTATATAACTCATAGTTGGGGCTGGTTTATGTATACAGTGTGAACAAGCAAGTCACCTAGCCCGTAACTACAGCTGGAGTTTATGCGTAAAGCAAATTTTCATTGCCAGAGAACCAATAGAAATGCGCCTTGCATGGGTATATTTATTAGCGTTGGAAGCTTAAAATCAGTCATCTCAAGAGATCCACCCAGTCTTGGTCAACAGTGACCTAACGAATAATATAATATATGTGCGCAAGCAAGACCGACCATTTACTACAAGGTGGGTCAAAAAGGGATTGCTGCTCGAAGTATCGATATGCTAAACGGTTCTGAAAGCAGTTTTCAGAACTCTCAAAATTTGCTTGCGTTCGAAAAGCGCAGGAATCGTTAGCTCTGAGCAGTGAAAGTGGTTCTCTGCTCCTGGACAATCACCTCCGCGACAGAAAAAGTAATATATGACATTGCAGCAGGAGGGTAAAAGGCAAACAAAAATTAAAAAATATCTTAATACTTTATGTATATATATAAATAAATAAATAATTAATTAATTTATTCTCAGTTTCATAGAGACACACCAACGCAGGCATGATCAAGGTTTAAAAACCGACGTGTATCACGACGATACATTGGGTTCAAGCGTGTGTAGTTGAAACAGAGTCGGGAAGAGTTGATATGTTAGTCTAGTCGACTTGCCAGTTTGTAGTTGTGGGCTGTGACTTTATTCAGTGGCGAGTCACATCCGCCACGTCGCAGTGTTGTTAAACAGACATTTGTGGCTTTTTATAGGGAGAGCGCTTGCCAGGCGAAAACCCACCACGTCCTGCAACACTGCCGTAAAGTATTTTGAACATTAATGTTGAACTGGCAAAGCCGCTTGACGACTGGTTTTACCTTCGGATTTTCGCAGAGTAATGGCTTCCAATTTCCTCTGCTAGTTGGACAGGTAATTTGATCGGGGTCGCCATTATTTTTGAGATCGGTGGAGGAGAGGGACCTCGTGATTATTCATCTTATTGTATGTCCAGGTGAGCAAAAGTTCAACTTCTCCGCTGTCCAGGTTTTACAGATGTATAATTTTGGGGAGTATGAGGATATGTCCATTTCTCCATACTGGACAAGGGTTATGGTGATTGCAGTTCGGTCCTTTCGGAGTTCTACCATGCTCCAGGTAAGTCCATGTGGGTTGTTGCGTCCGTCTTGGGCCAAAACTGTTCCTCAGTCCAATCCCAGATCTCCAAGAATTCCCGGACCTCAGAGAAAAGGGAAAGTGAGGGACAGCCGAGAGAAGACCGCAAGAACAGGCATGGAGTTGAACATTGTTAATATCTTAAGTTACAACACTTGTGCTTGAGACAAAAGCATGTACACTGTGCAACAATAATTATGCTGAAAATGTCTTTTGAATATCCTCCGGAATCATTAGCCGTATAGGTGGATTGCTAACGCCTGCCTAGAGACAAGATCGTTGTACAAGTAAGTAAAGTACGAAGTATCCGTTTAGTAGGAGCCAATAATTGCGTAGGGATAGAGCAAAGAGAGTTAGAATAATGGTAGTGATTGTCAGGTTTATGAACAGCAAGTAGTTGACGTAATCCGAGAGGGAGCGCGTAATAAGCGAAAATAAATAGGTTGCCGTGAGAGTCCTAAAGATTAATTGGTGGCAGGGCAGAGGAAGGATTGGATGCAGAAATTCTAGAGGAATAAAGGATATTGAGATACGGAGTGGCTCCTAACAAGCATTAAATTATCGCATATGCATGGAGCCAATGGCCACTATCTATTTCTGAACAGAAATTCCGAATATACGACGTCCGACAGGTGGCGATAGAAGAGACTAAGTGGCCGGATGTAGCCATTCCAGTCAGACGCTTGGTCAGTAGCGTATGCCTATAGGGTCGCTGAGTGTATCAACAGGCCAATGAAGGTAAGTGACAGTTCAGGTGCTAGGTCAACAGACCAGCAGAGCTGTGACGCAAGCAATCCAAAAGAATGAACATTGCAAGAAGGGAGCTAGCTCCGGATATCCGCAAAGTTAAGTGGAAGCTACGGTGACAAGCTGTTGCTAGGTAGAGATATTAGCTCTAGAAAAGAATATGTCAGTCGCTGTTGAAGCCATATCATTAAGACGATTGATCACTAGTGGATACCTACAGTTTCAATGAAGAAATCAACATGCGAGTGAAGATTCGAGAGACAAACGTCAGAGAAAAATGAAGGATGGAAATCAACGAGTGGATCCTTGCAAGCTACATGGAGCCAACAATGACTAGCTGCTATCAAGAAGAGTTGATGCGAGTAGGACGAGCGACACAACGGTGCGCTAGGAGAGAGAAGAGTGACCAGCAATAGAGTTCGGATTACGCCTTCAGTTACTAGTGTATCCTACGGTGGCATATAATAGGTCAACAAACCATCTGAGCTGTGACGCAAGCAATCCAAAAGAATGAACATTGTAAGAAGGGAGCTAGCTCCGGATATCCGCAAAGTTAAGTGGAAGCTATGGTGACTAGCTGCTGCTAATCAGAGATATTGGCTCTAGAAAAGAATGTATCAGTGGCTGTTGAAGCCATATCATTAAGACGATTGATCTCTACTGGATACCTACGGTTACAATGAAGGAATCAACATGCGTGCGAAGCTTGGCGAGGCAGACGGCAGAAGAAAATAAGGGCTGTAGTGTCAGGGAGTGGCTCCTTGCAAACTACATGGAGCCAACAATGACTGGCTGCTATGAAGAAGAGTTGATGCGAGTAGGACGAGCGACACAACGGTGCGCTAGGAGAGAGAAGAGTGACCAGCAATAGAGTTCGGATTACGCCTTCAGTTACTAGTGTATCCTACGGTGGCATATAATAGGTCAACAAACCATCTGAGCTGTGACGCAAGCAATCCAAAAGAATGAACATTGTAAGAAGGGAGCTAGCTCCGGATATCCGCAAAGTTAAGTGGAAGCTATGGTGACTAGCTGCTGCTAATCAGAGATATTGGCTCTAGAAAAGAATGTATCAGTGGCTGTTGAAGCCATATCATTAAGACGATTGATCACTACTGGATACCTACAGTTTCAATGAAGAAATCAACATGCGAGCGAAGCTAGGCGAGACAGACGGCAGAAGAAAATGAGGGCTGTGGAGTCAGGGATTGGCACCTTGCAATAGAGTTCGGATTACGCCTTCAGTTACTAGTGTATCCTACGGTGGCATATAATAGGTCAACAAACCATCTGAGCTGTGACGCAAGCAATCCAAAAGAATGAACATTGTAAGAAGGGAGCTAGCTCCGGATATCCGCAAAGTTAAGTGGAAGCTATGGTGACTAGCTGCTGCTAATCAGAGATATTGGCTCTAGAAAAGAATGTATCAGTGGCTGTTGAAGCCATATCATTAAGACGATTGATCTCTACTGGATACCTACGGTTACAATGAAGGAATCAACATGCGTGCGAGCTTGGCGAGGCAGACGGCAGAAGAAAATAAGGGCTGTAGTGTCAGGGAGTGGCTCCTTGCAAACTACATGGAGCCAACAATGACTGGCTGCTATGAAGAAGAGTTGATGCGAGTAGGACGAGCGACACAACGGTGCGCTAGGAGAGAGAAGAGTGACCAGCAATAGAGTTCGGATTACGCCTTCAGTTACTAGTGTATCCTACGGTGGCATATAATAGGTCAACAAACCATCTGAGCTGTGACGCAAGCAATCCAAAAGAATGAACATTGTAAGAAGGGAGCTAGCTCCGGATATCCGCAAAGTTAAGTGGAAGCTATGGTGACTAGCTGCTGCTAATCAGAGATATTGGCTCTAGAAAAGAATGTATCAGTGGCTGTTGAAGCCATATCATTAAGACGATTGATCTCTACTGGATACCTACGGTTACAATGAAGGAATCAACATGCGTGCGAAGCTTGGCGAGGCAGACGGCAGAAGAAAATGAGGGCTGTAGTGTCAGGGAGTGGCTCCTTGCAAACTACATGGAGCCAACAATGACTGGCTGCTATGAAGAAGAGTTGATGCGAGTAGGACGAGCGACACAGCGGTGCGCTAGGAGAGAGAAGAGTGACCAGCAATAGAGTTCGGATTACGCCTTCAGTTACTAGTGTATCCTACGGTGGCATATAGTGCGTGACATGGACTGTAATGTTACTCCGATAACATTTGTGATTGATTCGTCAAGCAGGGTTTCCGTTCACTCCGATCGAAGCAGACTAGGTGCGCCGGGAGTGCTATCGACGGGTTTCGGTACTCGCTCTGTACTTTGTTCATTGCTTCCTCTGGACCGAAAATGGCATTAGTTAGAAGTGTGGAACAAGGTTGTTTTATAAAGCAAAACGTAGTACAGTTGGACTGACTTCGAATCAGAGAATTTTATCAGATGCCTTGTGGCTCTGGGACCTTCCTTTAATTACTTCGCAATACACCTTATTCATGCAATGATGTAATTGCGGTTTATAATGGTTTTGCATGAAAAGCAGAATAAACCCGGATACCGGACTTTTAGTGCTGAGTATTCTCGAAAAGTGGAAAAGATTGCCGTGCTTTGCTAAAGCTGCGCACTAACATCTGCATGCCCAAAAATCCTCCAAAAATTTCTAGTTGCGGAAGCATAGGTCACCAAAAGTAACCACTAAGGTATGCCAAAATTTCACTCCAGCGGACATTTTTTGGTCATCCGTGCGGTCAGAGCATATTCGCTGCAGCCTTACCCATGCAGACTTTAGCACATTTGACGCTTTGAAACATTTTACCAATTTTTGACACTTGGGTGCTTATTATTGGCGATGGACGTGTGTAGTCTATTAGTAGAGCATCTTTTGTTTGAGAAGGTTTAAACAAGCTTAATATAATAAAGTTTCGGTAAGTAGCGTGATACGCGGTTGTTTAGGCTTATATGAGCAAGACTAATCTCGATATGTGTTGATGTATTAAAATGGATCTGACCTATTTAGGCCGTATGACTGTTCGGAAACATTTAGGGTACAAACATTGTGGACTCTACCTCCGTAGTGTTTTGACAGGCGCATTATTATCAGGCAACTGCACGTAGAGCGTTATTCACTATGGACTAACAAACCAAGACCTTAACTCCTTTGTAACAATAACCTGTCTTAGTTATCCTTGAGCCACCTGCACGGCATTTCCATCCTTTTATCTATTTTGTGTTGCGTATGCTTAGAAAACCTGGATTTGGGATCATTCCTTAAGCACTGCTGAGTTAGGGTATATTAAACGTTCCTAGGTACGCGAGCTTGTTTAGAATTTAAATCGCAACATAACTATTTGATTATTTTTTATCCCTATAGTTTGCTATCGAGGAGAAGGCGTCGCTTGAAACATGGTAAAATCGATGGTACTGACCGTCACTGCCGCTTCGGTATATTAGCGGCTGCGATGGCCGCGAAAACTAGGGTTTACGCAGTTGCGGCGTATAGTGCCTCCTTATATCTAACCACCTATTAACTATGAGTTTCTTGTAGTCCTTGTCCCCAGCTCGCAAACACGAACTGCCTTTGTTCGGCGAACAATGCGGCTTCTACTCTGATTCTGCTGCACTCTTCTTTTGACGCGGCCATTATAATTTAGAACCCCTGCCCATCTTATTCCGCGCCCCCAGCTCCATTCTCGTAATGGGTATGCAGTTTTTTATCACCGCAGCTATGAAAATTAGGCTTATCCCTTAGCGCTGCTGCTCTTAAATTTAAATGCTTACTAGTCCATCTCCAGGTAACACGAGCGCTAGCGGCTTCTATTGGGACCCTGCTTTCCTCGTCCTATTCAGCAACCGTAGGTCAATATTAGTACTCCACATAGACGTGTACCTAGCTTTTTTCTCCCTACAACAACCTCTTGTTGCGTGTGATTTTTGTAGGCTGACTAGCCACAACGACAACCTGTAGATCTCTCGCACCTCAGCTTCTTCCCCGAACCTGATGGGACGTTTTCACTTGAACGCTTGCTTATGGCATCAACTGCCTTATATGCATCACATACCTCTGCTGCTTACTAGCTAGATTGTTTGGCCTTTGTATATCTCCACGCATAATTGGAGGATTACATAAATGAAGCAAGGCTAAGCACTGCACGATTACTCCCTTAAACCAGCTTCTGCGTGTCTCATCCACGCATCGCTGCGCGTTGCCTTCAGGTAACTAGATCTATTGAACTACTTCACTGCTCATGCGTACTATCTTCCCATTGCTTTACTATCAACGAGCCTCCATTGGCTTTCACTCGTCACAATCTAATGTTAAGTACTTATTCAGCGTTCTCTAGCGCGTTAGGCTGGCATCCTGTTGTTAATTCAACCTACCATCTCCGCCATCTTTAAACCTTTTGTTATTTTTCCCCACA